CGCTCAGGTGTGGTGCCTGAGGCCAGCCTGAGGCCTGGAGCCGCAGGAGGAAGGGAGCCCAGGAGAAGAGGTGATATCTGAGAAAAGCCTGGAGCAGCCTCAGCTCTTTTGGCCACAGACTTTGGTCTCATCAGTCAATGAGTGACCCGTGCCTGAGCCAACAGGATTAATCATTATAGGGCACTTATCCTCCAAACAGGGATGAGGCATCCTCAGGTCAGCTGCCCCTGCCCTGGTCCCGCAGGATCTAATGTAGCCTTGTGCTCCTCATCTGGAAAATGGGGCTCAGAGGGGACAACACATCAGGGCCCAGTCTGCTCTGTGCCAGTCAGCTGAAATTGAAGTCCAGATACTCTGAGAGAGGACAAAGTCAAGAGGGTCGGGGAGGGATCACTTTGTCCCCCAGAGGGAGGTGGTAGGTGGCCCCAACTGTGTCATCCAGCCCACTGGTGAGAACAGCTGCCTTGAGCATAGATACAGAGAAGATGCGTCCATGTGTGTGCACTGCACGTTCACGTCTGTGTCATGTGCCTTCATGCTGTCCTGAATGCTGGAATAGAATGCTCACTGCCATATTCACAACGTACAGTGCTGTGCTGACTCATAGTGGGGCTTATAGGTTACCTGAATAAATAAACATGTTGGTCAGAAGAGGCAGGAGTTCTCAAACTGTGCTGATGGGGAACCCTGTCGTGGGATTACACTGGTCGTCAACCAGTTCCCCCCAAAAAACTCAGTTCATGGACAGATGGTCTAGAATGTTAGTTTTTGCCTGCCTTGACTTCCCTCAAACTTTAGGTCCTACAGAAAACTCACACACAGCAAACTGTGTGTATTTAAGGAGCAAATGGATCTAAACAGAGAATTGCAGAAACAGCTGGTTGTGCCAACTTCCACAGCTTGCTCAGTTCCTGGACGCGCACACTTGTTCCTGGGATCAATCTCTGCTCTGTTCGGGCCGGCAGTCGTGCCCCTCCTGGGGAAATTGTTTTCGTTGGTGTGACGAAATTCAATATCTGTCAGCCTGTTACATTGACGTTGGCCATGCTGTCTCTGCTCGCACCTCTCCTGCTCCTTCCCAACTCATTCCAAGCTGCTCCCTCCCCCAGCACTGCCCCAGGACGGCTCTCCCAGGTCACTAAATCTGCGCTCTTCTCACATTACCTGACATCTCAGCAGCATTTGACCCAGCTGACCAGGGTGTCTCTCTCAAAACATGGGTGACCCTGGCTTTTGGGGCACCTACTTTTCTGCTCTTCCTTCCAATCCCTGCCGAGCCTCTCAGTTTCCTCTGCTGGTCCCTCTTCCGCTGCCCTCCCTCAGACGTGCTTGCTCCTGTGGGCTCAGCCCGGGCCCCATCTCTCCTCACTGTGCATATTCTCCCTGGGGGGGTGCCTTCCCAGGCACCACCTGAGGCCTGCGAGGCAGGCAGGAAGCCAAGTCACTGTGGGCCCCCAGCCTGTGACAAAATGCTGATCTTTATGCCAGCAGAGGCAAGTTTTAAAAGGTGGAGGGGCGACATGGTGAGGACTGCATTTTGCGAAGCTAGCTGGCTGCTTTTTCGGAGCCTGGATCGGAGGGAGCAGGGACGGAAGCATTTGGGTAACGGATTAGAGACGAGGAGGTGGAGGAGAAGGGCGTGTCAAGATGCCTGCTCTGTTTCTGGCTCAGATGGCTGGGTCACATGCTGCTCGCTGAGGTCGGGGACGTGCAGGAGGCGTGTCGGGATGAGGAGCACGGCATGTGCTTCAGACCCACAGATCCAACTGCTCATGCCAGAGGCACCTCAGACACAGTCTGCACAGAGGGATCTTGGAATCCTCTCTCCCAAACTGCTTCACCTCCTGGGTGCCTTTTCTCACTGCGAGACTCCGCCGGCCCCCCAGGCTCCAGGGCCAGAGGTCTGGGGGAGCTGTGGTCAGAGTGCAGGTGAGCAGACAAGGCAGGAGTCACCAATCAAGGGGACACACAGAGTCTGTCACAGATGGGGAGAAGGCAGGCAGTGAGCAGGAGGGACTGAGATGAACAAGGGGCTGGGATGTTGGCAGCTAGAGTGCAGCCACCTTGTCTGCTGCTCCCAGGATCCTGAGAGCAGCTCTGGTCAGCTCCCAAGTTTCGGCACTTTTACTAGGACAGGTAGCCGCTCCATCCCTTCCCAAAATAGTTTTGGAAGCCGCAGATGTCCGTGGCATTTTGTAATTATATCTCTCGTGATGCATTTGATGGACAACTGCCTCCCCCATTACACCCCAGGCTCCATGAGAGCAGGGAAAGTAGACTTCAAAACTGTCAAAAGTCCTCACCTTATTAAAAACAGAAGCACCCCCAGTTCCTAAGGAGCACCTTGGCTACGGCTGCTCTTACCCAGGTGTGGCCGGAGCAGGGCAGGGGAGAGGAGAGGAACAGGGCCTGCGGTCAGGGTCCCTGGACTCACTGTGGGTGGGGGTGCTCGGACCCAGACAGGCTCAGAGCCCATCCCTAATGTGACTTTAACAGGGCCTTTGAGCCAAAGGACAATTCCAACACAAGAACTCAGTACGACTGCATTTCCCTGGCTCAGTGACACCCCTCCCACCCGTGCATGAACCCCAGCCTCACCCAAATCACTCTGGCAGGTGGGAGTGGCTCCAGGATGCTCAAGGGTTCACACAGAAATCAGGGTTCATGACAAGATTTGATGCATCCATTAGAAACAGCATCTGTCCTAGCTGTAAAGACAGGGACAAGGTTTATGACATGATGGCAGATGAAAAAAAATAGCAAGATGTGGTCTTTCATAGACAATAAAATCCTAAGCAGGTGAAAAAGGGACAGGGGAAAAGGACAAAAGGCAGTGTTGTAAACTGTCACGGCGATGTTTCTGAGAAGCGGGATTGTTTTCATTTTCCTTTTTGCTATGAACAGCGACCTTTCTAGGAAACACCAGGTGGCTGATTCCCTGCCTCAGTTCCCCGGAATCTCCCAGAACAAGCCATAAGATTATATGGCTTATTATCCAAACCAGGGCACTTTTCAGAGTGAAGGGGACTCTGGGCCAACAGTCATAAACCAGGATTGGCCAGGTAACCAGGACTTATGGTCACTCCACCCAAAACCAGTCCCAGTTGTACCTCCACCCTCACCCCTCCTCTCTCCCCTGTGGCTTCTGTGGCCTAAAATGACACAGCCACGATGTGGGGGAACTGGGATCCAGACCCAGGCTGGCCTTGTTCCCTGCTCTTAGCCACTTCAACAGAGTCCACTGTGAACGCTACACAGTGGACAAGTCCACGTTGTTCTGGGAATTAAACATTGATTAGTTAACCTTTGTCATATTAAAGGAGGAACTGTGCAGAAAGGTCCACCTTTCTTGATGGGAAAGGCTGAGTCTTGTGTCACCCTAAAATATGGAATATGTTGAGTAGGACTGCTGCTCAAGGGACTGAGAGCAATTGAAGGGTAACTGGTGAGCCAAGAAGAATCATTGACCTGAAACAAGGCTGCAAATCTAGAGAAAGTGGGGCCATTACCTTGGCCAGGACACTCCAGCCATCCTGGAGACAGTGAAAAGGGAACAAATGTACTTGAGAAACTCTGTCCTAGGCACTGAGATGGATTATTTATCTCACTGAGTTCTACAACTCATTGAAAAAGCCGTGCTAATTGCCATTTTATAGGTGAAGGGACCAGGGCTCAGGGAGGTGAGGTGACTTGCCTCTGAATCCCGGGCTGACTCAGGGATTGCTTGGACCAGGAAAGAAGCTGGTCTTGCCAATCTTGGTTCAACATAGAGTAGGAACTCAATTAATGTGTTTAGGACTGGATGGATAGACACATGACTGGTCGGCTGGCTGGGTGGATAGATGGATGGATGGATGGATGGATGGATGGGGAAATGGACGAAAGGCAGTGTTCCAAACTGTCACAGTGATGGATGGATGGACAGATGGATGGACGGATGGATGAATGGACGGATAGATGGGTGGATAATGCTAGGCAGGCTACTGAGACAGTGGCCCAAGCTAGATCTTGAATGGAACCCACCACTGCTGGATCTGATCAAATCTTAATCCCTTAGAAGGGAAGCTCCCTTCCCATCTCTCTGTGAATCTAGGCCTCAGTTCAGGTTCCATAGTCCTGTGAAAGGGAAATAAGATTTCAAAGGCTTCCTAAGACCCCTCTCTGGGTTTCAGGAATTCTGCAACAGACCTCATATCACCATCAGCTTCCTGATCCAGAACTAATTGTCACATACTTCCTCTCTCTCCTGCCAATTCTACTGCCCAAAGCATCCCTGGGATGCATCCTCTCCTCTCCATCCTGTCTGTTCCCACCTTGATTCAGACCTCATCATCTCTCACCTGGACTATCTCATCAGCCTCTTAACTGGTCTCTCCGCTTTCAGACTCGCTCCCTGTGACACATCCCAACCACCCCCCACCACAGGGGCTATTCTAAAATGAAGACCAGGCCCTTCCTGGTCTGGCCAGGGGCTCCACATTCTCTTAGACTCACATCCGAGAACTGTGGTCGGGCATCGGAGACCCTCCATGATCCAACACTATGCACTCTCTCCAGTTTTGTCTCCTAGTGCTTCTTCCATCACACATTCCCTCTCTTCCAATGCCCCCCAAGAGACACAGAAAGACCCACAGACACTCCAATGCATGGCAAGGCCACAAGACATTTGGGCCACTCTCTGGGGAGTCCTGTCAGGCCAAGAATGAGATGAAGGGGCTGGAGCCATGGAATCTCTTTGGGGACCCTGGAAACAAGGTGCCTGAGTGGCAGCAGGTCTCTGCCTAGGGGCAGAGGATGTGTCTGTGTCCTCACTGGGTCTGGGCTGTGGTTCAGGCTGAGTGTCTCTGTGGGGGTGAGGAGAGCCTGACCACAGATTCCCTCTGCAGGGCTGACGATTAGCAATTAACTGGGAGGAATCTCAGGGGTGAGGTTAATCGAGGAACAGAGGGAGGGCAGCTAGGGTTCTAGGGACTTTGCCCTCGACCCGAGGGTATAAAGAGGAGGGTCCCAGCTCCTCCTCAGGCCCCTGGGACTTCCCTGAGCAGCTGAGCAGGAGCTGAAACACAGAACCCCAAGGTGAGCCTAGGGCCCCCTCGTTCCAGTCCCATCCCCAACTCTTAGTAAGAAAAAGCCCATCACCCCAACCCCCTCACTTCTGTCCCAGCGGTGCCCCCTGTAACATCTCAGCCCCAGCCCAGCCTGGCTCACTCCTCCAAAGTAAAAAGGACTCATGTTCTTCCAGGGCTTGGAATTCAGCTCTGCACAGCCCTCATCCCAACAGCCAAGGACCCTTGGAACGATGCTGGGCTAGGGGTAGGGTGCTGAAGCAGACTGCGGCACTCCCATCCCAACAGCCAAGAACTCCTGGGGCAGTTCAGGGGGGCCTAAAGCACTCCGGGGTCTTCCCAGACCTGGGGACAGGGTGGGAGGCCCTCCATACCTAAACCAGTCCCAGTGTGAGCCCCATTCATGGAAGAAAGGCTGTCAGTATTTCTTTATTGCTGGGAGTGGGGGGTGGACGGGGAAATAAGTTCATTTGTGGGGGGAACCCAGGAACTTAGGATCCAGGCCAGTGGACTCTCCTCTGAGTGTGTGCCCAGCTGGTTCCACAAGAGAACAGGTGTCCAGGGCTCTTCACTGCTCTCAGGGTGGACGAAACGCCTGCCCAGCACAGCCCCAGCCACACCACAGCCTCTGCTACCACCACGTTTCCTGGCCCCTCCCCTCTCCATCTGCATGACCATTTCTTCCCTCCCCCAAGAGCCCACCTCTGCCATGGGGCACTTTGGTGGCACCGTATCTGTCATTAGAACACTTGTCCCCCTTGCCATTTTCCATCTATTTGAGGGATTATTTCATTTGGCATCTGTCCCCTCACTAGACTCTGAACTTCCCAGGAGCAGGAGCTGCATCTGGATTTAGTCATCACTGTATGCCAACATCTAGCTCTGCACCTGGGATAGAGCAGATGCTCAATAAATACTTGCTGAATGAATGAATGATGAGCACCTGAGTGTGAATCTCTCAGTGGGGGTGGAGGTGTGCTTTGCTGGGCGTGTGTTTGGGATTACACACCATGGGTGTTTATGTATGTGAATGTGTGGAAGTGGGGTGGGTGAGTGTGCGTTTCCAGGACACAGCAGTTGTCATTCAGTGTTGCTGCGGCCCCCTGACGTGCAGGCCCCACAGTGTGTGCCCAGGATGATGTCCTACGGAGAGAGGCTGGGGAGCCCGGCGGTCTCCCCACTCCCAGTCCGTGGGGGGCACGTGATGCATGGGCCAGCCTTTGCCTACGTGCCCAGCCCACAGGGTGAGTGCTGCTCCCACCCCGGACCCTGCTTGCCCACGGTTGCCCACATCCTGGGGAAGGCCTCCGCCCTTCCACCCTCCCTGGGCCCTGGGGCCTCTGGGAACTCCTGACCAGCCTCCCTCCCCAGTCCTGCACAGGATCCCAGGGACCTCCACCTATGCCTTCCCCAGCCTGGGCCCCGTGGCCCTTGCCGAGCACAGCTGCCCCTACGGAGAGGTTCTGGAGCACCATGAACCACTGCCTGCCAAGCTGGCCCTGGAGGAGGAGCAGCAGCCAGGTGGGCCTGGGATTGGGGGCAGGGGCATGGGCATCACTGGCCCAGCCTCTGGCCACTGTGCTCAAGACTGGCCCATCTCTAGAGCCCGGGTTGGCCCAGAAGCTGCGTCGGGTTGGCATGGCGCTCCTCAAGGTGCCGCTGATGCTCACTTTCCTCTACCTCTTCGTCTGTTCCCTGGATGTGCTCAGCTCAGCCTTCCAGCTGGCTGGAGGTAGGGCCTGGGTTGGGGGGTCGGGGAAGGATTTCTGAAGGGCCTCAGAGAACGCTGGTTCATGCTCCCCAGGGAAGGTGGCTGGGGACATCTTCAAGGACAATGCCATCCTGTCCAACCCAGTGGCGGGGCTGGTAGTGGGGATCCTGGTGACTGTGCTAGTGCAGAGCTCCAGCACCTCCACGTCCATCATTGTCAGCATGGTCTCCTCTGGCTGTGAGTTGGCCTGCCAGGGCCAGGGAAAGAGCGTGGGGCGGCTGGGTGTGTTGGATAGGGGTCTGGGGTGGCGTGTCAGGGCTGGGGCACAGGGGGCAGGAGTGGGGACAAGGGGCTGAGGGCAAAGTATACTCCTCCAAAGTATGGCCAGGAGTCTCAGCTACGGGGTACCCCAGGAGCCAAGAAGGGTAATACTCCTCAGTATTGGGGAGCATAGCCCCAGGCAGGCTCACCTCCACATCGCCATGCAGTCACTCATTCCATCAGTCGGGGAAGCAGAACCAGAGAAATAGAGAAACAGGACCTGTGGGAGAGAGAGAGAGATATGATTTATTGCAAGGAATTGGCTTATGTGATTCTGAGGCTGGCTGGGCAAGTACAAAATCTGTGGGGAAGGGCAAGCCGGAGCTCCTGGCAGAAGCCGAAGCTGCAGTGCACAGGCAGGATTTCTTCTTCCTCAGAGAGCCTCCATTTTGCTTACAAGGTCTTTCATCTCACTGGATGACGCCCACCCAGAATATCGAGATTAATCTCCTTTACTTACCATCACCGAGTATGACACCTGCAAATTCCTTCACAGCAACACCTAGATGAGTGTGGGATTGAATAACTGGGGACTATAGCCTAACCGCACTGACACATAAAACTGACCACCACACTCACGTACACACGTGCACACACAAGCACAGAAACACATCTGCATACAGGACATGTTCCCTCATATACATGCACCCACACACACCCCCGCATACATGCATCCGTTCACATGCATGCACATAGGTAAACACACAGCATGTGCCCAGCATGTCCCTGTGACACCGAGGCTGGGTGGAGTCAGCAGCATAGCAGGAATGCCCGCCGTAGTGGGTCTGGCAGGAGGTGTTGTGGGGGCAGGAGCTGGATAGCCCTCACCCAGTTAGTTAAGGGGTCCCCTCTTCTACCAGTGCTAGAGGTGAGCTCTGCCATCCCCATCATCATGGGCTCCAACATTGGCACCTCCGTCACCAACACCATCGTGGCCCTGATGCAGGCAGGGGACAGGACTGACTTCCGGCGGTAAGCGGGTAGAGTGGTGAGGGGGCTGTGCTTGTCGGGGGAGTGTGCTCCCAGATGCCAGGAGCCCCAGTGCAAGCTCCTCCTGGCTCCGCTGGCTCCGGCATGCCTTGCAACGTGGCCTCCCTGCTCAGGGCCTTCGCAGGGGCCACGGTGCATGACTGCTTTAACTGGCTGTCAGTTCTGGTCCTGCTGCCGCTGGAGGCTGCCACTGGGTACTTGCACCACGTCACACGACTCGTGGTGGCCTCCTTCAACATCCACAGCGGCCGGGATGCCCCCGACCTGCTCAAAATCATCACGGAGCCCTTCACTAAACTCATCATCCAGGTGGGGGCAGGGCTGGCATGGGGTGGGGGCTGGAGGATGGTAAGGCCCCACCCTCACTCCTCCCACCCACATCTTGCTCACAGCTGGACAAGTCTGTGATTACCAGCATCGCCACCGGGGACGAGTCCCTGAGGAACCACAGTCTCATCCGGATCTGGTGCCACCCAGACCGCTCAGAGGTAAGTTCCAGGTCTGGCACCCGGTGAGACGACTTTGTCTTTAGAGAGCTGACTGTTAGTTGTTAGTGTCATTTCTGTTCAAAATGCTCCATATGGACCCTAGAGATCATTTAGCCTAGAGAGTGCAAGTATGTGGCACTTTTACTGTGACACTGTGTCGACGGCAGACACTGCCAAGTCCTCCCACAACTTTAGGCAGCCATTACCCATCAATTAGAGTTGGCATGTGACCGATCTAGCCCAGCGGTTCTCAAAGTGTGGACCAGAAGCACCCATACCATCCGGGAGCCTGTTAGGGATGCGAGGTATTGGGCCCTTCCCTGGACCTACTAAATCGGAAAAAATCTCTGGGGATGGGGCCCAGCAGCCTGCCTTTCAGCAAACCCTCCAGGTCTGTCCGACACTCAAGTTTGAGAGTCACTGGTCTGGCTCAACCGTCTGGTTTCACAGGTAGAGAAACAGGCTCCGAGAGGCTAACAAACTTGCCAGAGCTTGTCTCGCCATTTCAGGGCCCCGAGCACAGGCCTCGAAGTCTAGGGCTCTCTCTTCCCCACTAGGGTAGTGTGGGGTAGGTGACTCAGCTCTGCCATGTTTTGGGGCCCAGGTAATGTGGGGAGGGGTGGAGAGAGAGTTATCAGATGCCTACGAAAGTAGGACGAACAGGAAACTGGCCCAGGAGCAGGACCAGCGGGCCCTGTGGAGACCTCCCTGGAGGCACAGCAGCCACTGTGCTGACATCAGGGCTCCTCGCCCAGAGACTGCCACAGGCGTGTGTCCTCTTGTCCTTCTGCACTGTTTCTGCTGCTTCCTGGCTTCTACTGCCCGGAATGAAGATCTGTTTGGACCAGTTGGACACTTGTGGACCAGCCATTACACTAGGCTAATAAGGAAGCAGACAACTGACACATTTTCTCACTCAGCCATAGAAAGGAAAATGCTTCATCAAAGCCATAATCCACAGTATCTGCTTCCCTTAATTATTACATACAAGAAAAAACTCCATTTAGAACAAGATGTAAGGAGACCCAGAGCCCACACCTTTCCCCCTCATCATCTCCACTTGCTACTTGATGTTACTGGACCTTTATCCCGGCGTGAACAGAGAACATCAATTCAACCCGCTCTGCAAGGTTCCTTTGCATCTGAGTGGCGCACAGCTCCGGCTCAGCCCTTGTGAGTGTTCAAGGCAGTTTGACATCAAAAAGCCCATAAAGGTGGCTGCTATGCTGGCTTTGTGACCTCTCTAACATATCGTCACCTTCTCAGGAGCTCTCTGGGCACTCTCTGAGCTCTCTGAACAGTCAAAATCCTCTCTACTTCATAGCAAGACCTGGAAGAGAGAGAAATCACACACTGTGATCTGCAGGAAAAACAAGACCTGGCATGGAGCTCCTCGGCCACGGCGGCATTCCTCGGCTCCTCTGAACCCCGCTGCCACCTGCAGCTGCCTCAGGTCTCCCCTTGCCACATGCCCTCTGCGGAGGGGATCCTCCCACGCCGCCGCCCAGCGGGTGAGGCAGACAGGAGTATCCCGCTTTCTGCAAGAGGAACCTGAGGCTCAGCAACATGCAGTAACCGCCCAAGTTCCCGGCTGGGGCTGTCCTCACGGCTCCAGCCGCCCCTCACCTGAGCACTGCTTGCTCGTCCCATCTTCCCCAGAGACCCTGCCTTTAAGAGTAGTGTCTGGCAGATTTCCTTGGCCTGGAGAGTAGCTGGGGGGTGGGATCCGAGCTCCCTGGCCTCCCCTCTCTCTGGGATGGGCCCCACGGGGACGTGCTCATCAAAGACTTGAGTTTTTGCTTTAGTCCCCGAGTTTCTGTGTGCTCCCTTCCAACCTTTCAACAAGCTGGCCCCGACCTCACCCAAACCAGTCTCCAGGGAACCAGGTCACCAAGGAAAGACTGGGAGGCTGAGGTTTTCCTCAGCAAAAGAAAAACCAGAGGCAGTTTTAGTGTCCCAACACTTCTCGATGCTCTGATCATGTGCTGGGAATTCCCTGCTTGTGTGGTCACACTGTGGATTGTCACCCATGCCTGCCTGGTTGGAACGAGCATCTTTTGAGGACTTGCAGCCTGGGAAGCAGGGATTATCACATCCCCATTTTACAGATGAGGAAACTGAGGCTCAAAGAGACTTGCCCAAGTCCGTGGGATTGAAGTAGGCTGAAAATCATGGTGGACTCTGGAGCCTGGGCTCCTGAATCTCCATCTTGATGCCCCTTTCAGACACCAGTCTGGTGTCCCACCATACGTGTCCGTCTCCTGCTCTGCCCATTAGGCCTGAAGGCCACCAGCTGACTACAGTCACCTGGAGACGGCTTGGGGGTGGTAGGTGCTGCTCTGGGGCGTTCTCCTCCAAGCCACCAGATGGCGCTGCGGGCACAGCGATTTCCTGCTGCTTCCAGAAAAACAAAGACCGCTGTGCTCCCCTTCTGAGGGGAGACTACTGCTGCCCACATGCCTTGTGTCTCTCCCCAGGGAAGGATTCCTGAAACCCGACATTCCTCTGTGAGCTTAATCATCTCCTTCAGTTCCCAGTGCATCCTTAATTTGGGGTGGCTCTGCAGGCACTCAAATCCCAACTCTTTTCTAAGATTCCTTACAACTAGCCCCTGGGGAGAAGTGGGCCCCATTATGGATCTCACACTGCAGAGGAGGAAATTGAGGCCCAGAGAGGTTATGTTTGGCCCAGTGTCACACAGCTGAGTGGCTCAGCAAGGATTTGAGCCCAAGGCTGTCTGAGGCTCATTCATTCTGTTCTTCCCACAGAGTTCAGCAGCCCCACCACGTCCCCCTCCGCCCCCATCTTGCCCCCAGGCCCAGGAGCTATGGGCACATCCTGGGGGTATACCCCAGACCCTGGGTCCCTCAACTCTTTGTCTAGGCTGGAGCTTCCACCTTCCCCCTCTGCTGGCAAGGAAGCCCAGTGCCTGCGCCCTGCCCTCGGCGTCCCCCACCCAGCCTGGCTGGACAGTGACACCCTCTCTCCTCCTGCTGCCTCCACACTCCTCTCTTGCATTTACAGTCTCTGGACTCCCCCTGTGGGCTCAGCCAGGGCCACACAACCCCAGGCAGGAAGGTCGTTTCCAAAACCCCAGAGGTCTTAGTCTTCAGCCTGGCCCTGCCCTGACACTGCCAGCCCTGAGTGGGACCCCAGCAAAGCTCCTACCCTCCTCCAGCCTCCCCAGGTCTCGCAGACCCCTCCCCCAAGAGACCCTGGCCCAGCCCAGAGTAGGTCAGTGGGGCTCAGGCTGGTCAGGCATCCACTCATCTCAGGGGGCCATCTGTCTCCCAGAGTTCCAGGCTGGGGACCCTAGGAAGGTCCAGCACACTCCTCCCCAGCAGGCCCACGGTTCTCAGGCATGCCTGCAGGAGCCGTTGATCCTGACCTGGGAAGTCAATCACACACACAGTGTGATCCCAGGTGGGCCCAGGGAGGGAGGGGGGGTCTAATCCTTATTAGGAGGCACAGTTTCCTGAAGGCTTGTCGGGAGCTAAGCCACGCGGTGAGCACTTCACACACACTTTCTCCTGTGAGCTTTACAACAGCTTTTATTATCCTGCTTTAGAGGAAACAGGCTCAGAGTGGTGGCACAATTTCCCCAAAGCAGTTGGTATAAGAAGCAGGATCCGAACTCAGCAAGCACTTGGCTCTGCCTGACCTGCGCAGCACTCACCACTGCTTTCCCAGCCAGCTTTGCCAGTTGAGCCCACCCAAGACCACCTTCTCCTGGTTTCTTGGCCTGTGATTCTGGCCTGGGCTTGAGGGTGTCCCGAGGCCCTGGTGTGGCAAGCTGGGAACACAGACTAGCATGTTGCCCCACTCAAGGGAAAACATGCCACTAAAATAAACCTGGATTTACAGCCAGGCGCCAGGAATAATTCTTATCTCCATCACCTATTTTTAAGTGACATGTAGTTTAGAATAAAACCTGAAGGAGCTGTAAACATCGAAGTGCCAGTACCCTTCCTAAGGTCAGAGGGGTGTGGGACGTGGAGCGCCGGGGGTACAGAGTGCCATATCAGCTCCCAGAAGAGGCAGAATGTGGGGAACAGGGAGAAGCTGTGGCTCTTATATTTTGCCTGGGGCCCTGGGAGTAACTGCCCTTTTCTGGGGCTCAGTCCCCCTTTTGTGAGACGGCTTCTCTCCAACCAAGCCCAGTTCACTTTCCCCTCTCACTGCTGGATGTTTGCTGGGATCCTGCGGGAAAGGTAAGGAGCCCCAGGTTGCATTTAAAAAAATAACTCCTTAACCTAAGAAAACTACAAATTAGTGGTCCCCAGGCCAGATTGGCCTTCACAGAGTTGTAAAGAATGTCTTAAAGTGGTTGCCAACATTTACAGATTGGGAGAGTTTATCTAAAACTTCAGAGTTGTGATTTCTCTTATAGAATTGGGCCACTTGCCCATGCTGGGCTGTGTCCCTGGATGGTGACAGCGGCCTGAAGCTGAGTAGTGCTGCCCCCTTAGGCCCAGCACGCACTCCCCACCACTTCTACACTCGGCCTGAGCCCCTAACTTAGGCTACCTGCCTGACCCCGGGCCCTCTGAACTGGGGGGCCTCCCCAGGAGCCCCTCTCACTTCGCTGACATGAGGTGGGGGAGGGAAGAGATGTGGGGCGTGGACCCTCTGCCCAGTGGTGGTGCCCTGCCCCTGCCCCCCTCTGGACAAGGAACTGAGCAAGAGGAAAATGGAGTGTGGGCTAGGTGCCTCAGGGAAGAGGATGGGGCAAGGATGCTGGGGAAGATGAGGGCGCCGAGACAGACTAGTAAGAAAATATGGGGGAGAGAGAGTTTTCAGGAGAGGGCCGAGGTCAGCAGTATCCAACGCCAAGGAGAGTTGGAAGAAAACAGGACAAGAAGCCACCGGATCAAGAGGCCCTTAGGCCCCTGTGGGAGCCAGATGAGTGGGCTGAGGGGGCAGAATATTCAGGGCCGACCACAGGCAGATTCTCGTGTGGCAGGGGTTTTCATCCCTGTTTCTTCATCAGAAGAAATGGGCTCATAGAAGTCAAGTGAACTGTCCAAGGGCACGGAGTGAGGAAGTCCACTTCCATCCCGCCAGCCCACGTCTCTTCCTAACCCCCATCTCACCCCCAGCCCCAGGCTACATTTTCCTAAATTCTCTAAAGCACTCTCCTCTTAATCTAGGCTCCCACCACTATTCCCAGGGCAGAGGTCAACACCAGCCTGACCCTCAGAAATGCCACCATGGAGAAATGTGAGTGCCTGCAGCGTGGGGATGTCTGGCATGGCAGGGGCAGAGCCCGGCAGAGGCAAGGCCATTCCCTACCTGGCCACTTCTGCTTCCAGCCCCAGGAAGGACAGCTGCCAACCAGCTCAGCTCCTGGGCTTGGGTCAGGTCTGCTGTTGAGGCTGAAGGAGCCTGAGGTGGGGCCTTAGGCTCCAAGCTCAAGGAGGTGGCAAAGGTCGGGGGCTGGGGGCCGAGTTAGGGGGTCAGCTGTCAGCAGCTTGACACCCCTCTGCCCCGCAGGCAACCACATCTTCGTGGACACAGGGCTGCCTGACCTGGCTGTGGGGCTCATCCTGATGGCTGGCTCCCTGGTGCTCCTATGCACCTGCCTCATCCTCCTCGTCAAGATGCTCAACTCTCTCCTCAAGGGCCAGGTGGCCAAGGTCATTCAGAAGGTTATCAACACCGGTGAGCCCTGAGCAGTGGGTGGGTAGGCACCAAGATGGGCCCTTCCAGATCTCACTAAGTCCTGCTACTGCCTTGCTGTGTGATCTGGGTAAAGCCCTGCCATCTCTGAGCCTCAGTTTCCCCATGTGAACAAAGAAGAGGTTGGACTGGGTGATTTCTGAGGCCCCTAAGGTGCTGACCGCTGGGCATCTGTGGCTCCTCTGGCTGTGGTTCCATTCTAGCAGAGGGCTCTGAAGAGAATCTCAGAGGCCATTGTTTGATTCCATCAACAAACAGTCATTAAGCCCCTACTGTGTGCCAAGCTCGGTGGAATGCCAGAGATACAGAAGTGAGCCACAGAGAGATGGTCCCTGCCCTCAGGGGGCTCACAGCTCAGAGTGGGAGATGGACAATGAAAACCAGTGATCGAGGGGGTATAAATTCAGATAGAGAGGAAACTGCCAATGAGAAAGCCAAAATGGCAAATGGGGTATGAAAGAGGCTGCTTTAGATGGGCACTCAGCGGCCTCTATGCGGAGGTGACATTTGAACAGAGACCTAAATGAGGAGTAGTCAAGATAAGGCTGAAGAGCATCTTGGGTGGAAGGGACAGTGCAAAGGCTCCAGGGCAGGACCCAGCTGAGCAGGTCTGTGGCACAGAAAGGTGGCCAGCAGTGTGGCGGGAGCTCAGCTAGCAGGTGGAGAGAGGCAGAGAGCAGTCAGCGAGGTGAGAGGGGCAGAGCAGATCATGGGGCGCATGGGCAGTGCTCAGAGCCTGGACTTCATAATGGGGGCACTTGGGGGGTTGGGGTGGGGAGTGACACCATCTGATTTTCATTTTAAGTCTAATTTTGAGTTTTTGGGACACTGCCTGGCATGGGCAGAGGCTGCATGTGACAAATGCTGGAATAAGGGCATCCATGGATCCAAGAGAGCTTGGAGGAGGGAGAAACAAAATCTGCCTGAGGGCTGGGGGCTGGAAGGGCTTCCCGGAGGGCTTCCCAGAGGCAATGATTCCCACGCTGAGCCCTGAGGGTGAACATTTAGGAGTGAAGAGGATATCCCGGGCAGAGAGAACAGCCTGACCAACAGCATGATGGAACCAGGCTGAGAAGGTTCTTAATCCAATGTCAGAGAGGGCCAGTAGAAGTCACAGCAGCTGAGCAGGGGACTGACAAGGTCCCACTTGGAAGCTGGCATCCAACGCCTCCTCCCCAAGGAAGGTCTTCACTCCGTTCCCAATGCCCTCCCACTGACCCTACCGGGACGGGGTTTCCTCGCAGACTTCCCTGCCCCCTTCACCTGGGCCACTGGCTACTTTGCCATGGTGGTGGGTGCCGGCATGACCTTCGTCGTCCAGAGCAGTTCTGTGTTCACCTCAGCCATCACCCCGCTCATCGGTGAGTGCTCGTGCCTAGGCAGGGTGGGATGGGGCAGGGAGAGGCTGGCAGGGAAAGGGCTGAAGCGGGGAGCTAGGGAGACCATATCCTCCTCCTCTGACCCCCAGGCCTGGGTGTGATCAGCATTGAGCGGGCCTACCCCCTCACACTGGGCTCCAACATCGGCACCACCACCACGGCCATCCTGGCTGCACTGGCCAGCCCCCGGGAGAAGCTGTCCAGCGCCTTCCAGGTGGGCCAGGAGAACAGCCTCTCCAGAGGCAGGACAGGGCTGGGACTGGGGCGTGGCACCTGACCCAGGGTGGGGACAACATGTGACAGATTTCAACTGCTTACTGGGGGGCACCCACCCTGCCAAGCTCCGTGGAAACCATACAGCAAAGCAGACCTGGTGCCTCCCTCAAACCTTAGCATCTAACAGGGAGACATTACTCCGAGAAACACCAATAAGCAATAGTGAGGGGGATTCGCACTTTGAGGAAGGGGTGCTATCAGCCCCCTGGCCCAGTCTGGGGGATCAAGGAGAAGCAAGGGCAGCAGATGGCAAAGGAGTTGCTGTTCTAGGAGCAAAGGAGTAACTGACAAGCCAGAGGCTGGGGCCAGGTCACCGAGACCGGGCTGGACCCCTATTATCTATCCCCCACACCGGGCACAGGAACTGGGGCCCGAGCCCAACTTGGCCCCTCCGCTCTCTCCCCTGCAGATTGCCCTCTGCCACTTCTTCTTCAACATCTCGGGCATCCTGCTGTGGTACCCAGTGCCCTGCACGCGCCTGCCCATCCACATGGCCAAGGCGCTGGGCAAACGCACCGCCAAGTACCGCTGGTTCGCCGTCCTCTACCTCCTCCTGTGCTTCCTGCTGCTGCCCTCACTGGTGTTTGGCATCTCCATGGCAGGCTGGCAGGCCATGGTAGGTGTGGGCGCACCATTTGGGGCCCTGCTGGCCTTCGTGGTGCTTGTCAGCATGCTTCAGAGTCGCAGCCCCGGGCGACTGCCCAAGTGGTTGCAGACGTGGGACTTCCTGCCCCGCTGGATGCACTCCTTGCAGCCCCTGGACCACCTCATCACCCGCGCCACCTTGTGCTGTGCCAGGCCCGAGCCCCGCTCACCCCAGCTGCCTGCCAGGGTCTTCGTGGAGGAGCTGCCCCCCACCACGCCCTCCCCCTGCCTTGCACTGCCTGCCCGACACAATGCCACCCGCCTCTAGTATGTGGCCCAGACTGCCGCCTGGGTCAGGGAAGGGCCTGTGCCTGGTGCCTGGGCTGGAAGGGCTAAGGTGTGTGTCTGCACTCTGGGCCTCTGCCTGTCCTTGTGCAGGTCCTCAGAGGTCTGGGCTTGTGTGACTGAGAGTTGGTGTGTGTGCACATGTGGGCACGTTTGGGTGAGCCTGTGTCAGCCTGCACCTGTGTAGTGATGCACCTGAGGGGGGTTGTGTGCAGGCTGCAGGGTACCTGGTATGATTTCGAGTCCTTTGCACCTGTGTTTGGAGGCCTGTGCTGGCTGGGCAGGAGGAGGGTGGGGCTGAGTCGGTGACCTGCTGCTGTTTGCTTGAGCATAGATGTGGGTGCCTGAGTCACTGGCTGAATTCTCACCCCTCCCTGCCACCTTCCTTCCTCCACGATACCATCCTCCTCATCCTCACCAGGTTTCCTGCAGCACCATTACAACCCCTCCCCAACACTGCCTGACAACCAAAAGGAATTAAACTCTCATGGTACATTTGCAAGTCTGTCTGCTCTCCATCTAGGGGGCAAGGAGGACCACAGTTTGGGGTTCAGCAGCACTACCTCCTGCAAGCTCACCCCAACCATCTGCCCGGCTCTGCCTTAATGAGTCTAATCCGCGATTCAGATGCCCGGGATCACCCCCAAGGCAAGAGTAAGGAGGGCTTTCTGCACCTCCATCCC